AAAATTTGTCATATGAAATTACGTCATAACATTTTGCATCGGCATGTAATCTCTGATAATTGGGTAAAGATTCATTTAATACATATACAATTTCAGAAAAAATCATTAATAGTTGTTAATAGTTTCCCAAAGGCGAGCTCTCCAACACAGTAGTGTTGGAACCAGCAGCTTGTTTTTTTTTCAAAATTGGACCTCGGATTCTTTTATTTGAATATATTTGTAGACCTATATCCAAGGTTCGTATGCACCGGCCCCATAAAACCACGTGTTTTAGCAAGCCTCGGGTCAATTTGACCAGGTTTTGGTATCTAAGGGTTAAAGTCAGAAGCCACATCTAGAAGGATTTCGTAATTATTCACTTTTTAAATGAAATAACTCGTCAAGAGCATTTGGATTATCAATAAATATATAGGTAAAGACTTACTGCACAGTTTAGTTAATTTGGAACCATTCGTTTTGTTGCATCGTGAGGAGGTCTTATGAATGGCCCATCTGCAACCGTCTAAAACCAACCTAAAACGAATATTCTATCCATCCATCGGAACGCAATATAAATGCTATATTTCTCAGTTAGTGAGATACCGTTATATCGTTCATGAGCCTTTTTCGGTTTGTGAACCTTTCACACTTAATTTTTAAAACTAACGAGACGCGATTCCACACGACCAAGCAGGCAACATGAGCGCTTGCGAGAGATGCAGATCTCGGCAAATGGCTGTAAAATTTACGTTTCGGTTTTCCTCTGGTTGAAATGAAGAGCAAACCACTCTATAATTTATTAGACCTTCAATAAGCTGCTACGTTCGAAAGTGGTGCAGCGTTATTGCCGAGTTGTTAAATAAAGATTCGCGCTGGAATCAACAATTTTAGGAAACCATGTTCGATGATTTCACAATCTTTGTGTGGTACTTTGTTTTGATGAAACCGGTAATTTTCCTTTCTGTGCTCTTTTTAAGCTAATTTTATTTTCTGATTGGACGCTGTATCAATGCTGAGACAAAAATGTGTGAGAGAATGATGTCAAAGGGAACTATAAAGAAAAATTGGAAATCTTTCAGATTCTTTTCTGTACCTGTAATGCATGTGTTACTTTTTGTGATTTTATTGTCGTGTTCAAACTTTTTTCGAAAAGTAGAAATTGTATTTCATCTTTGTGATGCATTAGCAGAGCTTACAACATACGACCGTGTTAGGGCCTGAAGGTATCCATCCACTAATTTTATTGTTCGCAGTTTCCTTCCATTGCATTCACTTGAATGATGTTATGACTTATCTTGGCACACTAACAGTTTAATCATCATACAATTTCTCCAGGTGATTTAAAATAATAATTTGGTATAAAAACAGGAAACTCATTGATTTGGATTTTTCTAAGAATTTGCTACAACTCATCAGCCTAACGACAACTCCCTTTATATGTTTAAAGAAGTCCAAATCGGCTGAGTCGGATAGGTATAAATCAGATATCTTGGCAAAACAGGTGTTAAGAAACATATCGACGGTGTAAGTCGGCAATCACATAACTCGGCGAAGTTTGGAAGTTTGCGACGTCGCAGACCTCCTGTCATACTTTATTTTTTAAACGGAAAACTACTCAACGGATATTCTTTAAAACTGCCGTGATTTTTCTTCTCTGTACAAAAAAGATTCTACATGAACTTTAAGGAATGATGCCAATTTGTTCTCTTTTAAAAAAATTACATAGAGGCGGAGATTTTCAGACACCGCAAACGAGATAAATGTGATTGCCGACTTATACTTACGGAGCACTTACTACGTCGATATTCAGCTTTTGTTAAATCATATGTAGCTATATTTTTCATAATAATCTATACTTCTTCCAAATATCTCTCATCCTTTTCAATTTGTTCAGATATTTCAGTCAATTCTCGTTTTCAAATCTAATATTATCTGTGGAGCTCTTCAAATGTGTGACTAAATACTTCTTGCGTAATGTTGTGTTAAGTATTCTGTGTCCCGCAAGTAGTTGTATCCTTAAGATACATTAAAGATCTTTTGCGTGAAAATTGTTGAATTTTTCACGAACCGGCAATGGAATGGGGAAGCTTCGGTTTGTTTCGTTTGGAAGGAGCCCCTTCTCCTGTCGCCCTTTTTCAAAATACCCGTATCCCACCTCCTCTCACTTGCACCGAAGCGCTTTTATGAAGAGAAAATGCTGAGAGCACTACCTAGAATTTTGGGGTTGAGGGAGGTGGCTGCAATGTTGCCTACGTTCTCAGCGCTGTTAGTTCTCACTGCCACAGGAATTATATGTGAAATGGGGTTCCAGTACTACAAATGCGTGTTCTGTATGAGTCAAAATGAGATCATTTGCCTGAGACCATCATTGCATAACGCCATAAGGTGAGGAAATCGACTGTATAATTACCCCATTATTCTCTCTTCGTGATTCTAATTTAACCCTGCACTGCAGTGACAGTGGCAAGAGCTGTGGCTCCTAAATTTTCGAAATCGAGTCTCATTTCAAATTAATCCCATCTCCTTTAGGCGAAATCAATGAAATGGTTAAAGCAGCAAAAGTCTCGTTTGTACGGAAACGAGACGTATGAGAAAGCCGTACATGCTCAAAAAATGTTTCTGGTAAAACAGCCGCAAGGAGCACACTTTATCCAGAGAGCTAATGAAAGCAGTTCCTTCAAGTAAAATGCCGCACTTGTTTGCCAATTTTTAACCTGAAAATGTATTTTTTGTGCGTCTAAAACGCAACCAAGAAATCATGCAGAAGATACCATTTACGACCGTCATGCCCAACACAAGCCTAGGAAATGAATGATACCTTTTTTTTAGTTCTTAAATCATCCAAACAATTTCTATATAATGCCGCACTCTTTTTCCAATTTCCAACCTGACGGATCATTTTTGGGTGTCTAAAACGCAAACACGAAAGTATGCAGAGACATCACTTACGGCTTCATTACTTTATTTACGACTGCCTTCCCTAACACAAGCCTAACAATTTGTAAGAGTCTTACGGATGATCGGTGGTAATTTAATAAAGAAAGGAAGCTTCTTCCAATGAAACCCATTTCTCAAAACTTCATTTTTGGACTTACGGCTCTCTTTGCTATCACGGCAGTGGAGGGTGAGCGAACTGGCTCTTCACCAAAATCGGCAACGTGCGCGAGGTTTAATCACTCGGATCCTTCTCACAGATTTCCGTTTTTGCGTGCACCGGCCCTACCCTTACAGGATACTAAACATGTTATTAACACTTTCCCCCTCCCGGCTCCCCCACCCCATCCTCGTTCCGTTCTCTCGGGCCCTTTTTGTAGCTGCCGTCGCCCCGGTGCAGCGGCTAAAACAAACTCACACCCGTAAATTACACGTTCGAAGACTTTTATTTATTGCCTTTTTTCGGTCGGATCCGAGGGATCGGCGAAAGATCGCTTAGGAGTTGCCCCCGTGCCAACTTTGTCCAAGAATTGCCAGACTTAGTCATTCCGTTTAATTAAACATTGCTCCCGGGAGGTGAATAGTGGAGGAGTAGACCACTAAGCAAGGTACGAAGTTAAGCATTCTGATACATGTTTCCTGACCAGATTTTAAGGAGAATACAATATCCGCAACGAACATTACTCAAATTAAATCCTAACTGAGATATTTTATCTTTCTTGACGTGTAAATTCAAACTTCTCGCTCATGAAAATACCATAGTTTACGTAAGTCAAATCGTACACTAAACTTTGCCATGACAATATCTGCGATATAAAAATCTGGCAACCTCAATCTTCACGCTTTGGCTCAGCTATAGCAATTTTTTTACATTTTGAACAATAATAAAAGGTGAGGAAGGAATACTGGAGCAGTGCTCGATTGAGAAGCCTGCCGAAACTGTTGTGAGGCGCGATTTGACTCACGTAGAGAATTGCATCTCTTGTGACCGGGAAATTCAAAATTCACGTAACCAATGTAGAATTAAAACGTTAATATCTTATTTGAGACTTGATTTCAGTAATTATTTAATCAAAAATCGTGTTTTACGTAAAATTCTGATTATGGAACATGTATCAGAATGCTTGAGTTCGTACCTTGCCTAGTAGTCATTGAGACTCGAGCTGCCCAAAAACGATGTCTGATCGTGGTCCGATTCAACCTTGAAAAGGTCTGTTGCATTTAAGACATAGAGCTAATGGAGAATTTGCACACACAATTTATTGCTTCATTTGAGAGTGCTTAATGCGCTAACTTCGCATTATTTTATTTATTTTCCATAATTTGTCCTGAAATGGGAAATAGTAAGAAAATGGGTTTAAAAGTGAGAAAATTTACCCCTTAGTGACATTATATGGCAGCATTTCCAATAAAACCAATGTATTTTAGCAGATTAGGTTATTTTGTCATACCTCCTCCAATAATTCTTCAAGTTACAAACCAAGGATGTCTTCGTACTCGGTTCTTTTAGTAATTTCATGTTTAACATGAAATTTAAACAATTTCAGGCACCTAAAAATTCTCCATTAAAAGGAATTTTCATATTCTAAAAATCGTATGAATATCATCGTTGAGTTTATCAGAAATGCCTCACATGCATTTCTCCATACACAATCAGCGTAATCTATATTCCAGCTTTTGGAATTTATGGCGTCCGCGAGTGCTTTTCGTGTGCCACTGTCAGGTAAAAAGAGTTATTATTATGCAGTTTTCACTGAATCGTGCTGGAACTGCCTTAAAGATGATGCTAGGTGAAACTATTATAATCTTCTGTACTTTTTAAATATTCTCTATGTCTGTTCTAGATTTTTAGTCACAAGAGATATCTTTTCACCGGCACCGTATTCATTGTTAAAAAAATGACTTAAATTTTTCAGAATTAATTGAACGTATTATTCATGCTCCAGAAATTATTTTTTCCAACTAGCACGGTACATGTATTATGTACGTATTTTAAAAAAAGTATAAGTTGAAAGATAACGATATGTATTTTTACGAAGACTGAGTATCCATAAAGTTTTTAAAAGTTGTCTCATTTTATGTTTCAGGTTAGTGTTGACTGGTCCACTCTGATTTACACCCTTGGTAAAGTGAGTACAACCCCTCTGCATTTTAAAAGCACATTATCTGAGAATTGAATTTGAGCATTGACCATTACATTCTTTTTTTCTGTAAATTGGTGTCTTATGACTCTCTTGCAACGCAGTCGCTCGTTCTGAAAAGAGAATAGGTGGTGTCCTATAATTAAATAGCCAGTCTGTAGGAATGTGTTCCCTATATCAAAAACAGACTTTTTTTCTTCTATAAAGTTGTTTCCAATAGTGTCCGGTCCAATAGTCGAAGGTACAGCCTTCCTCTCCCTTATACATGTTTCGGAGAGACATTATTTTTTCTGAATTTTGGTGACGATAGTGGAAATACATGAAAAATGGGCACCTACCCTCCTCCTCTTCACCCATCATTTTTAGAGCCAAATCCAATCATGGCCTCAAAAATATCGTAAACTCTTATTGTGCGAGGATTTCTGTTGGCCTCAGATTATTTACGTCGAGAAACTTGTTCTTGTTGACCTTTTTCTTGAAATTATTGAAAACTAAGTCTGGAAGAAAAAATTGATAGGACAATTTTTTAAGAGTATCTCACGCCCGATGCAATTGTTAAAGCGTCTTTTTCGGCGAATACACCAATTTTTTACCCCGACAGATCCAGAATCTCCGAGAACCCCTCAAAATCCCCTGTCAACTTAAAATTTCCCGATTGTAGTGGAGACCGTGAGTAAATTCAGCGCTGCAAATGTTGGGTGGTACCCGTTTTGTACTTTTAAATTAGCTTTGCGTAATTTTATATTTAAAAGATAAACACTGGAAAAAAACACATTGGATCTAGAGTCCAGACTCTTGAAAACATTGACAAGAAAAAATACTCTTGATTCAATCAGATTTAAGCTGCAGATTTTTAAAGGAAATCCGCTCAAATTAAGAGGCTTGATTCTTGATTTAAGCAAAAATCCGATTGAATCAAGAGTATTTTTTCTCGTCGATGTTTTTAAGAGTCTGGACTCTAGATCCAATGTGTTTTTTTCTCCAGTTAAATTTAACATGAAACCTACAACAGCGCAAATCGAGATATGTGACTGCGGACTTACATCGTCGTCATGCAGCCTGGATGGTTTAACCCTGGGCTGGGACACCCTGTATAATGAAATATTTTTCCAGCGATCACTTAAGGCATTCCTTTCTGTGACGTTACACATTAACTTTTACGCCCATTTCTTTCCCGGTCCTGTTCACAACGCACTACTCAGTTCCATAGTTATAAGCTGCAGAAGGGAATTTTCAGTGCGCAAGTGTGCATTTTATAGCTTCCGTCGTTGAGTCGACATGGTTACTTACGCCAAAAGCCGAGATTCAAGGGATTGCGAGACCTCCGCCCGGTAGGTTACCGGCATGATATTTACATTTATAGAGCGCGCGGAGTGAGCTTTACGGCTGTCCGCGACACTGATAAGTGAATTTCATTTATATTGCCCGGCTCTGCGCTCGCTTACATGCTGATCGTAAACTAACAACCCTCGTGTGTCGTCCACGGTCGCCGCGCCGAGACGTTAAGAAAACGCTGGCTCATTGGTTTTTATTCTCAAATTTCGTACAGTTCTATTCGCACCGTTGGATCTTACATTATTCCCGCGCACATGGGACGTAACTTGTGAGGGCATCCGAAGGGTGGCATGAAACGGAGAGACATTTATGGAAGATTGGAAATGTCTGAAATATTTTATGAAATCTCAAGGCCGTGAAATTTTTGAAAAATATGAAATATTCATTACAGGGTAGGGATATGCAATCTACACTTAGAGAAGTCCAGCCGACTCTAAAAGTCTTTCATTTTTTCGCTGCGCGCAGTTTTCGATTTTACCCCGACATAATTTCACTCGCAACTGTTCACCACTATTTGTACGCTGTTCTCGCATTTCACTCTAAGCTGTTAAACTATGTGGAAGTGCACACCTTTGCTTTTTTCCTTAACGCATAATTCACGTGAATTCAACCTAATAAACTTCATACTTATGAATTAATGACGTTGTTAATCTCTTCGAGCTCCCTACTTCTAAATTTGGCTTCTTTTGATGAGTTTTGGAAGGTCACTTGTTTTATCGTGTCGATTTTTTATCGTGAATTACTTGTAAAATCGGCGTTTTGCGCTCCACTGTCTTCCTCTTGTCTCAAGAGACTCAAAGAAGCTCACATGCACCGGGGGGAAAAAACTTTGTTTACAAGGACTGAACTCCATTCCATTTTGAACACCAATGTTTTTCGGTTCGGTTCATTGAGGTTTTGGTGACAGGAATCGAATTTCGGTTACTGGATCAAAGTTCGGTTTCGGGGGAAAACTTCGTACAGCTAAACCGAAAAAAAGTGTTGTTTCATAAACCAAAATTCGACCCTCATCCCTAAGCGTTACGTATTCTATGAACAACAAGCAAGGCTCACCGCTAACCTATAGACTTTTGGAAAAATTGATTACATCAGGAGTATGAATTATAGAAGTAGACAAATACGATTACGAGAACCAAGAATAAGATTTCGCAGGTTTACTCAGTCGTAAATATGCGTTCACCCGATCGGGTGATGCGGACACGCTTGAGCAAACTCGTTACCTTCAGATGAGCTTTTTCCGCATCCGTGGCAATTTGCAAGGAGACAGAGACAGTCGGCATACGAAACAGATGTCGGCGGACGTCCGCACCTTAAGTCTCGCCGAGCTCGGACGGAGCCGAATGATTTATTCGTTTGATTCCGACCCCCATCTCACCCCATCATCCCCCACCCTCGCCCCGCTACCCCCCTCCCACCATCTCAGCCTCAGCCTTTGCGCACGTCGCGTTGTTCCCTTGCGAAATGAGCATTCGTAAAGGCGGCCCGTTTAGAGAGGCCTTTTCCGCTGAGTGTGCGTCTCGCATTTTGAGATGTCCGCAGCATTCAAGGGGGAGGGAAGGGGGAGTGCCGCAGTGTTCGCAACACGGCCGCCGAGTGGTGAGGGGAACAGTCGAATCCCAAGGTCTTAAAATTGAAATGAGGCTGCCGCATTTGGCTCGATATTGACTTTTTCCAGTCTCGAGCAGTGGCGTGGTGTGTTTTGCGGTATATCGATTGATCTGTCATTTAAACCCATTGAAAAGGATCGATAACAGGGTTTTCGTAGCGAACACCTTAGTAGACGATTCTTCACTACAGCTTCAAATGGGGATGTATCGCTAATCGATCATTCACGCCACGCCACGCCACTGGTCTCAAGGTGAATCTGCACATACTGTATGTATGAAAACAAACATAGCCGAGATACCGTGCACATTTTGTCGATTCACAGTGGTTTCATTTTAACTTTTTGGCGAAATAGGTTTCATCACGTCTGGGTGAGCATTTTGACTGTTTTGCTCAAAATACATTCATCGCCAACCCTAACCTGAGGCCTAAAGTATCCAAACGAAAAAAGTTACATCAGCTAAGGGCGTGAAACATTTAATTTTTCCGTTCGGATTCTTTTTGTTTTATATCAGGATTTACAGAATAGTTTTTTTTTTTAAAAATAAGCAGCAGAAATGTGCATAATGGATGTACCAAAAATTTCAAATAAAACTGGTACCAGAAAATAGTAATACAAACGCTCGGGAACATAAGAGACTTTGTCAGGGAATCTGTGCTGAAAACTGAAAATTTCCTCTTAAATAATGTTTGAAAATGCTAGTCCGTATTCGCTCGGCTTTTAAAAATCAGACAAACAGAGAAAAACTTGGGTTTTCCACGAGATTTTCCAGAAGAGAATCTTCATTCAGAAATCCTGAAATTTTATCACAATGTTTACCATTCAGAACTCTCTTGTTGTATTGCTTAGAACTCTGGCTTTCACTTACTTTCGTTTTAACATTATGCGTTTTGGTAACTGGCCTGGCCACCATCATCAGTCGAAGTCAGAGTTTTTGAAAGTAAAAAATCGTGTTTAAAATGATGGCCTTTCCGGGGTTTTTTTTTTTTTAAATATTAAACTTGCTTTTTTGAGACAAAAAGGGAAGTATTCATTCAGTTCAAAATTTGGAAATGCTAGGAGAAGAAAGATAAAAAATTCGAGACATCGCGGATCAGTTTCCGTTCAAAGCCCAATATGACGACGCAGCTTCCTTTTTGTCGTGCGAAGCAAAAGGGTGCCGGAATCGCCGGGCGCTGGTTTTATTGTCCTGCAAATGCCCAATAAAGCGTTTCCCATGTTTAAAGGCCTCGTAAATGCGTATTGATAAGCGGGTTCTTTTTATGGAACCCCGCAAAACGGTGTTGTCGATAGTTCGAATGGAGCTCGGTCGCATCGCACCCCTTCTCAGGAGACAATACGATGATTTCGTTGTAATTTGGCAGCGGAGTTACGATTCAGCGTAGCATCACGCTGCGACGCCGATCAACGAAGGATGTTAAATTAACGCTTGATCGAAGTCCATTCGTATTTTCCTTCTCCTTTCCGGTGCCGAGCTTCTGGAAAAATCAAGTTTTTACCAGACAAACCTGGGTTTGCAGTGAAGTAAGCCAGGAGCAGGAACGAATGGTAATTCTAAGTAGTGTATCACAAAATTCAAATAAAATTGAGTTGAGCATTTTATTTAAATTCAAAATGTCATTTTAGGCTCTTCGTAACACTACTTTATCAAAATTAGTCATCATTTTTCATGCCATGTATGCAGCGCGAACAGCACTCCAAGTCGACACTTCAAGACTGCTCTTCGTTTGTCGCGGTCGAACCAGTATGAAACGCCTTCAATTGCGTGTGATACTGTGCAACACACCCAAGTTGATATAGTTGTATTCTTAGGTTTGAACCTAACTCAAGTGAATTGCCGTGCCCAAAACAGGGCATGTCAACCCGTTAACTGCTGTATTTCAAGTTACTTCGCATGTTATACGTCCATAATTGTCCGTGACGAAAATTTAAGCCTCAGTTGATATAAAAGTAAAGAATTATAATTATTAATGTGGTCAAGGCTCACACCTGAGGGAAAACCTGTTTTGAAACTATCATAGTTTTAGAGCGCGCCCGTTGTGCACCAGGGGTATTTTTTGATAGGAAACTCGATTTTTTGGTCAAATTTTCAAAATTCCAAAATAAAAATAGTGGACGTGGCTTAAAATGCTTTATTGGCTTTTCCAAAAGTATCTATCCTTCCAATTAAGGTATGCTTTTTTTCTGTTCATTTTTTATTCAACTTACCCTCAGCTAATATAGACCTTGTTATGGGCAAGTTCTTCTGTACGGCTTCGTTTTTGTAAAAATCAACTTAATGGTTAAGAATTATCTCTATTCATGACTTAAAAATTAATTATGCTCGGAGACTTCATTTCTAGGGACTTATTCACTTTCAATTAAAATGTTCACACAAAATCAAAATAAATACGAAATAGCAAGTAAGGGGATAGAAATCGAGCAGTGCAATAAAATAATTGAAGAATAAGCGGTCCAAATGAACTGCCGCTCTTAAATCCACCGATCGTTAAAACACAAATCCCTCCCGAATTTAGTCATCAACTATCAATCGTGACGGTTGCGATCTCAATTTCAGAAGTTGATCTCAGTTTCTTTCCAGTTCCAGTCAATTTATTTCACACACATTTTAAAAGCAATCCGTAAACTTGCTTATTCGCAAACTTGTTATTTTTCCATCAAGTCAAGTTTGCTTCCATCGCGAAAAAAGCTTCGCCACTTCCTTTACCGGGAATTTTTCACTTTTAATTGCGCCTCTTAAAACCTTCCGTTCCTTTTTTCTCCTTGTC